TTTTAGTCATGTCCTTACTTATGACAAGAAAACAAAACACATATGAGACTTACAAACTTTATTCTTTGATATCGCCGCAACAAAAACTTTCTCAACAGCGAGCGAAGTCGATCTTCGTTTAAAATACTAGTAGCGTAATAAAATTATGATCTTTTGCGCGCCATTCAGTCTCAGAACTTATTACCAAGTTACTTGGAACATAACGTACAATGTTTAAACTTACAAAATGTCAATGTCTGTAATATAAAACTTTTAACACTTGTTTTCAAACACTTCTTTTCAAAGATGATACGCTCGATATTTAGTTTAGAGAGAGTAGTATATAATAATAATATTAATAAATGAAAAATGCTTTAAAGTCTATTTCGGGCCCTAAAAGGGGTCCGATATAGAGTTTAAAGCATCTACGACTTGGCTACGGTATGGTGATCTCTTCGGAGAAACTGATGGTTTTGTTTGTGCGATTCTGGACGAAGTTATCACGAGGAATAACTATCGGAAATATATCCTGAAAGATGGTACGGTTGACATCTGTCGGGCATGCCACCGTCCTGGGGAATAAAGAGAATAATAATAATATATCGCTTTAATGTACACCAGGTATAAATATACCATAATTAACTTAAATTAGGTTAGACAAGTACAAATGTCGGCCTTATCGCTCAGGCAACCGGGGTATGGAGAGAAAACATGAAGGGGAAGAGGTATAGGGTAAATGCTGGTGTGTTAGGAAATAGATAAAAAGAGGAAATCAAAGTAGTATATATATATATATATATAAATATAAAAGATAGTTATAGTTACACATAGCATATATTTGTTGTACTTTGGTGAGTATATTACGTACTAGAGGGAATATACAATGTGCAGAACAAGGCTTATTAGGCTTATTAGATACATATAATAAAACAAACACGTGTGATTTGTAACTACTAAATACATATATTGTATAAAACCTTATTGACTTGGTAGAAAGTTTATAACTAATTGGACATTGATATCTCTCAAGTAATATTCTTTCACTTGCTTTTTGAAGGAAGCAAGTGTTTGTTCTGATATACGTGTTTATCTAACCAGACATTACTTACCTTTACGACCAGATACGTATCGGAAACAATAACCTCTTCGGCTCTTATCTAAACTCGTTTCAACCAGCACTAAATAAAGAAACGAACTAACTTATTAGGTACGAGATCTCATTTTAATTTGGTTTGTAAAACAAATTTTAGAATATTGTAGATCAAAAAAGGTTCTGTTTTAACTTACATAGACACAGCTGGAGTAATAGTTTTGTTATACAAAATCATGTAGTGTTTTGTATCTGCCGAGCCTATCTAGCCCACGAACATTCATTTATAATTGTTTTTTTTTTTTTTTATAAAATCACCTTAAACAATAAAAACTCAAGACGTATACTATACTAAATTGTAACACATATATGTTTTAAAATAAATACTATCTGACCCGGCGATTTCGTCAATGAATGAGCAGATTTGTGATTTTAAAATTAGCTTAAAATTATTAAGTTCAATTTATTTAGGATAGTAATAAATAAAATATAAATTTAATAAAAATGCTTTATTGGCCATGTATTTTGGTGCATGGGTTGAACTCTTCAATGAAGCACCTTGTGATATACGACATTTTTCGTTTTATTATCAGGCGCAAGAACAAATAAAGCAGATGGTTTTCCGTTCGTGATCATGCCACGTATCATTGACCATGAAAAAAAACATGCATTTTCTAAATTCAGATCACAAACATTCAAGGATTGGCCTTGTGATTGTTCATCGTCATGGCGAATGCAAGACGAATCGGAAATTTAAGTCGTTTAAACTCAAACGGCATATCGGTTGGAATCTTCGGAATGAAAACTTCCTCACCGTTGAATTTTTCCTAGAGTTTCGTCGCGTAAATCACATTGACCATCAATTTACTTATCACCAAACGCGTTCTGTTGCATAGTTTTGGTCGGTTTTTGTTTCGAAGCATGATTACTACCGAGCCAACCTTTAGTCGTAAATTATACGGTGGTAAACACAGTCAATATACCTATACTAAATGGTAGGTACATATATATGTTTTAAAATAAATATATTTTAAACACAGCAAAAAAAATGATAAAAATTTATGTTTTTTATGACAAAGATCATTTTCAGACAAAAGGGACCAAACTACATTTTTTGGGTTTTGGATATACAAATCACTTAAACCTATCGTGATTTATGTCATGAATCATGGACATGGGTCTCGTCCAACTCGAAGGCAAAGCTACCCATTTAATTACCTCCGTATCATGGGTTATTTGACTTTTCTGTCTGTTTATTTAACTGTCCTTTTAGATCAATCTGATAATTCTACGATGATACTTTACGTTATCTGAAATATCTTCATCTAGAATTCAATTGCTCCATTGGCGATCGTAGAATGTTTCAAAATTGTCTAAAATTAAATCACCATTGTTTAAAATTGCAGATCATCAAAGATTTCTTCAGTATTTTCGGTTATCATCATATATAAGTATGGGATCTATTCAATCTAATAAATATTTGACGCCTTGAAATAAATCCTCAAAATTTTGTTATGAGCTCTTTATTTAGAGGTAATTGCAACCATTCGGCAAACATTAGAAGAATATCCACACATTATTTTTTTAAATGGAGGTTTATCTTTGAATATAAAATAGAGGAGTGGGTGTGTTGGTAAAGTATTGTCACGAGCCGGGGATTCCATAAATAAAAGAAGGTGGTTAATTACCAAAATTAGCACTGTATTTATAAACATTCACTTTTACAAACACTAATTAACAAAATTGTTCCTTAGTCGCACTACAATATCGCTTCGATGTTGATTTCCCTCTCGTAAAAGAATTACTCGCCCGTACGGCCAACCGATTCAACTTTTCAGACAGACCTATGTATATTAAGGAATCTACAGATTTCTATGAGCTATTATCTTCCGATATTCAACACTAGATGGCGCAGCAAGTATCGGAATAATGAATCAATATTACAACGCGTAGTGTTTGTTGTGCTACACTTGACACTAGGTGGCGCTGTCCTCCAGATTCCATACGACTCTCGATTGTTCACGAACTATAGTTAAAAGGCCGTTAGCTTGGCCCTCCTGATGGTTTGGGGGACGCGGGGCGGGGGTGCATTCAACCAATTAGCTAGTGCGTCGCTGTCCGCCGGCAGTGACTGACGTGAAAGCATGGCTGTATGTGTTATTTTCTTAAGACTGCTACACACGGTATTATTTTGCAACATGGATAATCTTCCGACTCTGCGTCACAAAAAGATTTAAAAACTTGAAGTTCGGCTTACAGAGGTTCTACTGTTAAAGTTCTAATAAAGAATATTTATTATTTTACTTAATTTTTACATTGTATCTGAATATAATTTACATGATGAAGATAAGGTGATTTTTAAAAAAATATTTTACAGTATTAAATTTTATAATTAATCATAAAAACTTACAATACACTGACATTATAATACACGGAAATAAATTCGATTTGTATTACATCGTGTGTAGATTAAATCTCAAACAAATAAATCTGAAGATATCGAGTTAGTACATCGTGTCATGTATAGCCGAGCGCATCACCCGCCCCGCGTCCCGCAAACCATCAGGAGGGCCAAGCTTACGGCGGTTTAACTATAACTACACACTTACAAGATCCATTAAATCCTATGTTCTAACAGTATTAAAAAAGTCAATAAATATATTTAAACAAAAAAAAACAATTGACTTGTCGGTAAGTTGGAAAACCAATTGGACGTGAAGAAAGAAAACAATTTACATTTTACCAAACTTATTTATTTTAATATATATTAAGATTACATAGTTTATAACAATCTATAAGCATGTGTTTATTTTTCTTTCTCTTTTAACGTTTAATCTAATCTGCACAATGTCTACATTTCAAATGTGGTTATTAATGTTAGAAGCATTGTGTTGTAGATTTATTAAGAAACGAGCTTTTGTCTATGTCACCCGCGTCTATGTTGGTTATCGCGTTAAAAGTATATTTCAAAAGCTTAAAAAACAACAACTAAGCTAAATTATCAGTAAGTTACAGTGATTATTTAGCTTTGTTGTTGTTTTTTTATTTATTTTAGACTCCTCCCGCTTTAGGAATATATATCCTGTGTCGCGGAAGACTGAACAAACATACATGAAACGAACACAAATAATACCCAGGCTCAGAACAACAATTAGTGGATCACACAAAGCGTTGTCCCATGTGGGGGATCGAACCATAACACTTTGCGCAGTAGAAAGTGGCAAGGTGATCGCTTAAACCACTGCGCTATCCGTGCAGTCAATTATAGAACGTTTCAATATATTTAAATACTACAAAAATATGTGGATTACACAAAGTGTCGTCCCATGTGGGGATCGAACCCACAACACTCAGCACAGTGGAAAGCGGTGTGACCGCTTAAAACACTACGACATCCATGTAGTCAAAATTTCTCTAAATTCAATTATCATAACTTGACTCGTGTCTTTGATTTTCCTTAAGGCCCATTGTAAGCGACCACCACTCTGCGCTATAGGTAACTCATCGCTGGCAACACTCGCTGGTCAAAAACTCTCGACTCGAGACACTACGATTTGGGACGAGAAAATATCACGCAGCTTCCCGAACGCTTGAAGAATCGCTAAACACTAGTTTTCTGTAAAGCCATGGGCGATACAACCAGCCAAGTGGGTGTATACTGCCCACTAAAAATTGAGGTGCAAAAAAATAGGTCCAAAATCTCATTTTATTTCCGGAATAAATCCTGTTTTGCAGGAGACTTTACAATCATACATGAAGCGGACACAAAGAACACCCTGACTCAGAACAATAATTAGTGGATCACACAAAGCGTTGTCCCATGTGGGGATCGAACCATAACACTTTGCGCAGTAGAAAGTGGCAAGGTGACCGCTTAAACCACTGCGCTATCCGTGCAGTCAATTATAGAACATTTAAATATATTTAAATACTACAACAATCCCTCGTTGTTAGTCTTAAATAACGCGCATAGTTCCAGCAGTTGTTTCGTACACTTCCCTTGACTCTTCATCCTCCTGATATCTGTTCGTCTGTTTATGTGCAGCCTGGCACCTTCTATGCCCGACCACATTTTAGCAACTGAAACTAGTTTGCTCCACGGCAGTGGCCATTCACCTCGAAGAAACTAAAAAATACGCATTTTATTAGTTTGAAATACTTTCATTGCGGTTATAAACACACTCATATCAAGAAAATCGGTCAGTGTCAATTTGATCTCATATAATGATCCGATTTGAAGGTTTACACTGCTTTGTATTTATACCTATCTCGAAAGTCTGAAACAACAATGATAAAGCAAGTATGAAAAATGATAGAAAGGAGTACAATATAATACAATAAAATTGCTTTGATTATTTTATATATTCATGGTTGTTTTTCCTTCACTTGCGAGCCGACCTGGCTTCGCACGGCATTCTTTGAAATTCTCTGAGTTTCCCTACTGTAATATACTGTATGATACATATCAACCTTACTCTTGAATCACTCTCTCTATTGATGAAAACCGCATTAAAATCCGTTGCGTAGTTTGAAAGATCTAAGTGTACAAGAACGAGAAGCGACTTCATTGTAGACTACATAATGGAGTAATAATGATTATAGGACCACCTATAGTAACTTAGTACCAGCTATAAACTCACTTGATCAAACGGTTGTTTCCCAATATGAAACATGGTGTACAAAAGCGGAGTTTTATTTAGTGGTATATCCACATCACACGACTCTTGTATGCCCAGTTTTTTAAAAATCCATTCGGAATGTAACTGGAGATGTTCGTAAATCACCTGAAAATTATAAACATGTCATCTTTTTTTTGACGCGAAAATTGAAGATAAACCTTATAGCTGCGATATCAAGGTCGCTTATAAGACAGTTTTATTACATACAGTATTTTACAAACGAATATGCCGAGAGTTGGGAGCGTTATTTTTACAAAAATGTGTGTTACACACGTGTGGTGGCGATAAGAACTACGGATTGTCACCACCTCTATTCATCCTGTAGGTGTCGTAAAAGTCGACTAAGGAAGGAAATAGTGCAGGATACAAGCACTGCAAAGAGAAGGAAAACTTAAAACAAACTCTACACCAACCCGTCTGGCCAGCGTGGTATAGCAGGCCAAAACCTCCATCGTAAGGAGAGGCCTATGTCCAGCAGTGGACTATTAAACGCTGTTGATGCTGATAATGATTATGATATATAATTGTGGGTTCCTTCAAAGTACTGCTATATATCTTCGGAACATTCAGTGTTCGGGTTTAGGGCATAACCTCATTGTAATGTGAAATAACAGACTGCATACCCGAAGACTGTCTCTCCCCGGTGGCGTCATCAGTATTTGGCTGGTCAAAGCAGCTGCATCGCTGGCACGTTCTGCGTTTGAACCAGGGACATCACCCTTGAAATTCAAAAACTATGAGTCATCAATCAATTAAACTAAGAACCTTTGAACAGGGTTTGGCAGTTGCTGTCCTTGTCTTAATGACCTCTCCAATCATAAAATAGACATATGGCTGGCGTTTTGGAGCTAAGTCCAGTCCTGCAGTCTGATCCATCCGACATTTTGCAGTATCCCCTACCATATCATTATTACTCTGCGTTTACTTGCCCCCAAAATTTTCCTTTTCAAGGTTAATCCTATCAATTACATTTCCAAGGTATACTTCCGTCAGGCTGGTAGCCAGCTGTATAAAAACATCAGCCAATACCTTTCGTAGTGTTACGGATTGTCCTGATCGTAAATAAGGATCAACGAATAATTTGCTTCTCTTGTGTCCCCCCCACAACTCACACTTCGTGAACTCCTCGTTCTTTGTACAAGTAGTTCTGCTCTGGAATGCGCTCCCACTCGAAATCAGGATGTCCACAAACCGTTTCGCATTTAAAAGGAATGTACATAATTACCTTCTCGAGGAGATGGCGGAAGTGACTTAACAAATGGTACACCTCCTAAATTCAAGCATTCACAGTGTACAAACATAAATAATATGTATTTATATCTATATTTATTTCTATATATATGTGTAATTATATTTGTATTACATTATAACTTATGTGTATAATATTTGTAGATTTTGCTTAGTTTTAGATAAAAAAATATTTATAATCATTGATTACAATCGTAACCTCGGTGCACCTACCCTACAAGATTTCTACACCACCTAAAGGTTGGCTGGAAGAGAATGCCCAGGGCATTAAGTCCGCCGATGTACATAAGTGCATGAAGATGTAAAATAAAATAAATAAATAAGGTCAGGAACAAGGTGTGAATATTCTGATAGTGACGCGATGACGGTGTAAATTCGTTCGAGCAAAGCTTTTTTGTTTTAAATCTTTCACTTCACCTCATTTTCCTAAATGCTATATGAATGGAAATTAACTTACTCAAGTAGATAATTAGTCGTAAGTCGATAGGAAAGTAAGTTACCTCCTCAAACAATTCAGCGAACTCTGGAAAATCCTCCAATCCAAACTGATTTGATAGGACCACCTTCCGTTTGGACTGAGCTATGAGTTGTTCTATTTCCTGCGTGTGTTTGTCGTCCTCGTCGATGGAGCAGAGCGCCTCCGCGATGGCGAGGGCGATGCACGACGCGCTACTTGACGACGAGTCGAAGCTCAGCGATGTGGATGTTGCTAGGGTCAAGGTTAAGGTCATACAAATAATATGTATTAGATTTAATCTAATATCGTTAATCCATACATTTGATTACCAAATTATTCGAACTCGAATGTCGAAGCCCAGCGATGGAGATGTCGCTAGAATGTCAAGGTCAAGGTCATCGTATATGATAAAATATCTATTAGACATTTAATTTCATATCGTTAATAAATGAGAGATTAGATGAAAGATAGTACCGTTACTATCTGCTAGGGAGACTTTTTTAAATCACCAGATAGTTCAACAATAAACAATATTGTATTACAGCACTGATTTGTTTTGTACTATTATTTTATTAAGATTACAAGTAAATAAACTTCACGCTATAACCATAAAGTATAAAATAAATAAAATTTGGTCTATAATAAAAAAGGGAGAGAATAAAATATAATAAAATTTGAGTAAGAAGGATACTAACTCACATTATATTCTTGGTAGGTAACTATTTGAAATAACCTGTGGGTCCGAAACAATTTCATTTCAAGCCTTTTTTATCTAAATATAATCTACTACTGAGTAACAACATTTAATGCACTGCACGGATAGCGTAGTGGTTTAAGCGGTCGCCACGCCGCTTCCTACTACGCCGAGTGTTGTGGGTTCAAACCCCACATGGGACGACACTTTGTGTGATCCACTAATTGTTGTTCTGAGTCTGGGTGTTCTTTGTATCCGTTTGATGTATGTTTGTAAAGTCCCCGCGACACAGGATATATGCCTAATGCGGGAGTTGTCTTTTTAAAAAAGTAAAAAAAAAAAAAAAAATGTGTAGTAATCGTTTGAAACTTCCATTAAGAAAATGACAAAAAATATGAAGTCGGGCCTGGTGGTCTAGTGGTTAGTGACGTTGACTGCTAGGCCGGAGGTGCGGGACTTCGATTCCCATCCAGGACAAATCATTTTGTGATGAGCACGATCATTTGTTCTGTATTTGAGTGTAATTTATCTATATGTATGTAGGTATTAAGAAATATACCTATAATTATGTATATTTATTAGCAGTTTGGTTACCATATTACATCTGCCTGGTTTGGGATCGGAATGACGTATGTGAGATATGTGAAATTCTTATTATTATAAATTAATTTAGTATTTATGATCGTTATGTATTTTTCGTAACGTTATTATTGAAAGCATCATAAAAGCTTCATTCCTTGACTTCCAAAATTTTGACGTAGCTGACCCATAGAGAAATTAACCTCTTGTGCATATTACAAAACGCAGGCCAGTCATAAATGAATGAAAGAAGTATCTTCTGTAGCACTTACTTGTTTGATCAAAATTCATAATCCTGACATGTTTAGACCTAGGCCTATTAGCTTTACCACGCATAGTATGAGCATCTCCGTTAGGCTGGCTCGATGCTGCGAACCAATACAAAGACAATACATCTTAGAATATTTGACGAAAATAAAGTCAATCCAAAAATGTAGCAAAATTAATCAACAGATGGCGCTAACAAAAAAGTACCAAAACTAATCAACAGATGGCGCTTACCCGATTTTTCTTTTTCTCCTTCCAATTCAGCCCATTTGAATATCTCTTCGTAAGTGATTGTGATCAACATTTGTAGCAATACGGATCCTCCAACAGGACTAATATGGGAAGGAAGAGCATTTTCCATGATTGAACAGGCGTTTAAAAATGAACGAGGAATACAATCAAGGGAACGCGATATACAAGAGAGGCACAGCGACATTGTCTGTGAAGAAAAAAAGACTTAGTTATCGACCTATATTATTAACCGATTTAATAAAGGTTTGCAATTCTGCTATATCTCAGAACCCTGACATTTACGAATCGATTTGAATAATTATTTTTGGTTTTTCTTTCGTGTCATTCAGATTTGAAGAAGATATTCCACCCCTGAGGGCCTCGTATACCTATAACTTAGGTATCCTAGCGTAATGTTACATGGCCCATAATCTTTATCAATGAATACTCCATTCGATACAAAAATATTTTTTCTGATTTGACAGATAGTTTTTGAGATTACCGCGTTTTGAACAAACAAACAAACTTATTATATTAGTCAAGACTGCCTCGGTGGTGAAGTGGTAGCATATACGACTCCTGTGCTGGGGTGCTCGGGTTCAATTCCCGAGTAGGACCAAATGTTTGTATGATCTGCAAATATTTGTTTCGAAGTTTGGGTGTTTTCTATGTATAATTTGTATATTTTTACAAAAATATAGTATAAAAGTGTTCTATCAGTTAATCTAGGTTCCATAGTACAAGCTCTGCTTAGGTTTGAAACAGATGTCCGAAAATATTATAATATTATTTTATGACTTGCTTTATAACGACATTATTCTGGTTATAAGTACCTAATACTACGATTCCGTTACAGAGGAATAAACCCCAGTCTACAACCACCTTAGGTACCTGATACATTGATGCTCCACTTTGCACAGCATTCACTAGTATTGGCGGGATAAATTGGAGAACAGAACCAACTACAGCAAGTACACCGGCCAGCCAGGGAGGTCTTCTGCCACACCACACCTGGTATAATTACAATATACATAAATTTGCCGTGATTTCCGTGATTGAAGCCGACTAAGGGAGCAAACTACGCAGGACAATAGCACTGCAAAGAGAAGGAAAACTTGACACAAACCTTTTACCAACCCATCTGGCCAGCGTGGTATTATAGGCTAAAACCTCCTTTCTCAGGAGCGGCCTATGTTCAGCAGTGGACTATTAAACGCTGTTGATGACGATGATGATTGATGAATCTTCTATTTATTAGTAGTAGCCCTATTCCTATAAATATATGTAGATTAGTTGGTATTACTAATATGAAACTAAGTCCGAGTATTTACTACGTTTTCACATCTAAATTCTGGTCAAATATAAGCAGAATCTTACGAGGAAGGGCTACTTCTGGCTACTGTTTGTCTGTTATTTGCAATAACTCTTAAAAGTTTTTTTTAATATAATAGGAGGCAAATGAGTAGACGGGTCACCAGGGCCTCAATTCTGCTATTTCTTACTATCATTCCCGTGACACGCAATTGAAATGCCATTGACATTGCTCAAAATATCGGTATTCTACTAACATAAATTCACTGTGTCAATAGACTGTCGATGTAGTGACAATGGCTCATCAATGGTGATATCAACAACATTGCCATATTTGGTAAATTAATCTTTCCTTTCAAATTTAAAATGTACTGTTTACCAAACTATTACAAAGATTTTGTATAAGTCGCAGTTCAGCGATAAGTCATTGGGCCATTGGTTTCACATTGTTAGTAGAATACGCAAAGTGCAAGCCATACCATCGACAGTATATTTATACAATATTAAAATAGCAGAATTGAGGCCCTGATGGTAAGTGACTACCGTCGCCCACGGACCTGCGATTAAAGAGTCACAGGTGCCTTGCGTCACTCCTTCGCAGGAACGGAAAAATTGCTTAAGCCGGTTTTCTTTGGCTTCGTCCATATTCGTAACTGAACTTACCTAACCAGTTACAAGAAAAGAATTTTTTTTCGTTGTTTGGTAACTAGTTGTGGGAGAAGAATAATTATTCCACTTTGGTAACTTGACTTCCCTAACCAGTTACAAGAGAAGATTTTTCTTTTGCTGTTTGGTAACTAGTTATGAGAGAAGAATTATTATTCCACTTTTGTAGATCAAATTATTTCCACTTTTGTAACCCGAGATGTTAGTTTAGTTAATTAAAACCAAAAGAACACCGATATAATGAAGTACTTAAAAAGCCTGCAGTATAAGGGATTTTTTACTTTTTTATCTTGTAAATGGTCAAGTATGTTTAGTTACTAATCTGGGTTTAATTACTAAGGGGGTTTTTGAGGTAATATTCCTACTGCTTTATTGAAAACATTTTTAAAACGTTTTATATGTATTACACAATTTATTAGATATTAGCATTTATTAGTACCTTTTAGTACCTATTGGATTAATAAACAACATTACAAAATATTAAAGTAAAAGAAACAAATGTTAGATAGATAAATGGAATTTAAATCATAAAAGGAGCAATAACCTCCAAACAATGTCCGACTGTAATTTCTTTATTTTTAAACTGGTCTAAAGTTGCATTGATTTCAGCATCAATTTCATCATAATTGTTGCTTTTCCGTTGTTTGGTTGCCGAATTATTTGATTTAATTTTTGTTTCCTTAACTAGAATGTCTAAAATTTTTGCGATGGATGGGTTTTTATTCCCCATAAAACGATTAATTCTTGAATGCCATCCTTCCAAATGGTTATTACTTCTTATCTGTTCCCCTTCACAACACCATATTTTAATAAAATTTAAATCTTGCAGCCAATAACGATCGAAGTATAAATTAAATTTCGTTATTGGATCAGTTTTGGGTGACCTCTGCATGATATAACTATAACCACAACTAATATATTTTAAAGGTAATCGGGCTAAACCTGCACAACGTGCAACATGCCGCCTTTGAACTCTTGACTTGATTCCTAGCTGTTTCGCTTTTTTAAAAAGGCTGCGACACAAGTGGTAAAAACAACCTTTTATATCTGTATCTGGAAATACTTTCTGGATGGCGTTTATAGCAGATTTTTCAAAATCGACTAGCATTTTTGATGGCTTCCAGTCAGGGAATTTAGTTTTGATTAAATCATATAGAATTTCATATGTTTTTTGTTTCTTGTCTTCAAGAAAAGCAAAGAACAATGGTACTATTTTTTTTGTTATAGTATTGTAGCCATGAATAGTATACAATTGTTTGAATGGAGGTGGACATACCTTAAACGTACCATCTATTAAAAATAAGTCAAAGTTACTTAGTGAAATCTCAGGATGGCAGAAAACTAAAATTCTAATATCATCTTTGTAGTCAGCCATTAAAAAATTATCAAACATTTTGGGTACTTCCACATCTTCGGGCCGTTGACAGTGTAGTTTGGTCACATTTAAGTGTTTGTTTCTAGCGTTATACAAACCGCTCTTAACACTGCTGAATGAGGGTAGATCCGAAATCAAATGCGCACCTCTATCCTTAAGTGTACACACTACTTGCTCATATTGTTTTTGAACTGGTTCATAATTGTTACAAATTCGATTTTTTAAGTCATCGAATGTTTTTAAAATTTGGCATTTGGTAACATTTGGATGGCAGTCGGGGTTGTGAGAATTTTCTTTAATAACGGTGTGTTCACGGCTCGTTATACTCCCTTTGCAACTTGATCTGTTGCATAGCCAAAATTTATTGCCACTGACATACGTTTTCCGTAAATGGTATTCGCGTCCATCATATAGAAGTTTCATGCCACCTCTTTTAGTTGGTAAAAAATCCATTGTTCACGTTTTAATAGGTAATAACTGATAAAATTCACAATTTATTTTTTATCCGTTTGACACACATCACATATAACAACAATCAATTATGACTGTCAGTCATTAATATCTTTTTACGTTACAAGTGACCAGTGACTAAACAAAGAGTATGGGCTCATTCCACGTTCATAACTAACAAATAGTTACAAAAGTGGGATAATAATTCTTCTCTCATAACTAGTTACCAAACAGCGACAGAAAAATCTTCTCTTGTAACTGGTTAGGGAAGTCAAGTTACCAAAGTGGAATAATTATTCTTCTCCCACAACTAGTTACCAAACAACGAAAAAAAAATCTTTTCTTGTAACTGGTTAGGTAAGTTCAGTTACGAATATGGACGAAGCCTTTTCTTTGAGGTCCTGGTCACCCCGGTCGAGCCGGCTCATGAAAACATGGCTCTCCCACGAGTGTTAGTAAAGTCAATAAGGGAGAGATTATATTTGATGACGAACTCCCTGGCAACTTCTTACAAAACTTCTATAAAGCTTATATAGGATAGTCTCACCTGTCGTTTATCCAAGCAACCAGCCCAATCTCTGCCGGAGATTTCAAGTGCGTAGCAGAGCGTGGATTTGAGTTCAGCCTTACTGCCAATTGTTGCCAATATGTAAGTGAGAGCTCCTGCTGCACTGGCCAATTCTTCTCCAGCTTAAAAAATAGTATAAATATAATCTATACTAATATTATAAAGCTGAAGAGTTTGTTTGGTTGTTTGACGCACTAATCTCGGGAACTGCTGCTCCGATTAGAAAAAATCTTTCAAAAATTCTTCGTTAGTTGGCCAATTATCGAGGAAGGCTATAAGCTATTATTATCATCACGCTACGACCAATAGGAGCGCAGTATCAATGAAAAATGTTGCAAAAACAGGTGAACATTATTCCTTTTGAGAGCTTCCGTTGCGTGCGCTGCGTAAACGGTTAAAGTTTCGCAAAAATCGTGTATTAAAATTAAAACCTCGACAGCATATTATTATGTTTTGCTTTTAAAGTTGGCTCTCTATAACCTGTTTAATGGTAATAAAATTTGTTCTATTATTTTTTATTTTTTATATTATTTGCGAAGGTGTTTTTATAAACATGAATCCTTTCCTTATCCAAATAAATACAACATTCATAAAATTACACAAAAGCTCGTAATATATAATATATTAATGGCTTACTGTCATTTGTTTCTTTACAGTACAGGGAGGCTAATGAGCTGATGGATAACCTGAATGTGAGGAACTACGACGCCCATGGACACCTTCAACTCAGGAGTCCCAGCAGTCACCATTGTCACCCTTGGGTTTGGGCTTCGGTAACCTCACTCACTCGGTGAAAGCAACGAAAGAATTGCTTAATACCGACTGCATATCTACTCAACACTTTTCTAAGAAACAGTGCCCCATCATCATCATTTCGAGGACAACACTATAATATGGTATCTTCCTCTTGATTTGACGATGGAGCCAAGACTTGTTTCGTGGCTACTGGTAAATCCCTAAAATTTGGGCTGACATTTTCACTTTCTGAGTCTGTTTTAATTCTAGCAGATTGGGCTTTGGAACGATAGTCTGATAAAGGAAGCAAGGTGGAAGGTTTTTAATTTTCCTAACCCGGAATATTATTTTTAGTTCCTTTAATACGGGGGTATTAAAATACAAACACACATAATAGTCCACTGCACGACATAGGCCTCTCCTTAGAAAAGAGGTTTTTGTAACTGGTCGTTACTTTGTTCCTTTATTACTGGGGTTGCGTATGTGTACAGAGAAAAATAATAAGTCTATGAACAACTTATTTAAATTTATTAATTACGACTGTATACGATATATATGGGTGTGCTGTAGTACGGTATACAAGACGACCACGGGACAACTGTGGTTCACAGCGCACTACAGTACCGATAACTCAAAACGTTGCGTCAGCATTCCCGCAACACTATTTCCCTCTTTTAAAAAAAAAAAAAATATTTATATTTTTTTTTACAACACAAAATCTTAATTCTAATCAGTATATTTATCAAACAATATTTCTTGTGAATTTACTTTGTCACCAAAGGTGACATCATCTTTCTGCTCAATCAACAGTTTGCAACTTAATATGAGTACTATGCTTTGTATTGTTATGCGATAAGCCTGTGAATACATTCCAACATTGTAATAGCGACAAAAGTTTTAACATTCATTATCACGCTATTTAAAATTTAGATATCAGCAGCGTACTTAAATATTAATTTACCATGACTTTAACACAATTATTTATTCTTATATTACGCATATAATAATATGTTTGGGTTACATTTTGTTATCCTTTCTTGACATCGTTGTGGCCGGACACCAACAACACAAACCATGCAGCTTGTTCTATGACCGAATAGCAAAATATAACACACACTATTAAATCGTTACAAAATAATTTCAATCACATACACACTTAATAACATGAATGCACGAAGATTTCTCGATCAAATAATCAGTAAACCACTTTATGAGGTGCAGACGTTCCATTATTAATTTGCGGCGGTTGCATAGTTTCTACCTTAATATTTGGTAAGGTTATAGAACTAGCAACCATTTCTTTCTTCAACCATTTCCTGACGCCTTTAGCACATTTTCGTTTTAATGCATATCCAATCACTATAATCAGTAGTACTATAATAATTATCATAACGATACCAATCATATTCAACTTGTTATCTACTTGAGCTGTGCTGGATATATTTTCGTTAACAACAACTTTGTCCTTTGTCTGTAAGTTGCCCATTTCCTAATTAATCAACTACGACGTACAGGTATCAAACACTAAATGAATTTATAATACATTTTCTATTTCATATTAACACGTAATTATATAACCAAATGTCCTAGTTAAATTATTGTCTAATCAGCAAAATTAATTGTTACAAATACTTCATTGGCTTTTTTCTGACTCGTCCTGTTCTCGTAGTATAACCAAAGCTACTGGGTTCGGCTGTTTGAAAAGTTACTTTTTTCTGAACTTTTTGACAGACAGTTTTACCACTATTATCTACTACTTCCGGTTGTACATTATCCTCTGTTAACATAAATGCAGGTTTAAGACGGTCTATAGAAACTCTAAGTTGTCTGTCTGGCAATTGTACACAAAAAACTTTATCAGTTCTATTAATGACGCGATATGGTCCGTCGTAAGGAGGTTGTAACGGTTTCCTTACTGCGTCATTTCGAACAAAAACATAATCGCACGTATACAAATCTTTATGCACAAAAATTTTACGTGATGATCTATTTTCTCTACTAGACGGTTTATATTCGTCAATAACTTCTTTTAACTTGCTAACGTAATCATTATCATCACACGATTTCACATTGCTTCCATCATAAAAATCACCAGGTAATCTAATATTATTACCATACAACATTTGTGCAGCGGTTACGCCTGTATCTAACCTAATTGTCGTGCGTAATCCTAACATTACAGTTGCCAGTTCATCTACCCAAGACTTATTGCTTAAACGAGCTGTAATTGCAGTTTTCAACGATCTATGCCAACGTTCTACTGTTCCATTGCACTGAGGATGATACGGGGTGGTTCTTGACTTTTTAATTCCCATTAATAACATTAGTTGTCTAAATAAGTTACTTTCAAATTGTCGACCTTGATCGCTTGTAAGTTTAACTGGACAACCAAAACGACTAATCCAACCCTCGTATAACGTCTTTGCGACTACTTCTGCAGTCATTTCCTTTATAGGAAAAGCTTCTGGCCAACGTGTAAATCTATCCACTATGGTTAAACAATACCTATATCCTTCAGTTGTGATTGGCAAAGGACCTATTAAATCTATATGTATATGCTCAAAACGTTTAGTAATCTCAAATTGTCCTAAATTAGATACTGTATGCTTCTGTATTTTCGCTCGTTGACAATTTATACATGTTTTGGCCCAATTACCGATGTCTCTATTCATATTTGGCCAAAAATATCTATCTGCTATTATTTTTCTACTAGCTCTAATGCCTGGATGGCTAAAGTTATGTATCGAATCAAAAGCTAAACGCCTAAATTGTTCCGGTAAATAAGGACGTATGTTATTAGTAGATGTTTCGCAAACAACATGCTTATTGGGTACATTTAAAGTTACACGCTTAAATATCAACTTACAGTTGTTATCCGATTCACTAAGAATTTTTGCAAGCTGTTCGTCGACTTCCTGCGCAACTGCCAGTTCTGCGAAGTCGATAATCGTGGGACTTGTTATTGTTTCAATTCTAGATAATGTGTCCGCTACAATATTATTTTGACCACTAATATGCCTTATATCAGAACTAAATTCACTAATAAACATGATTTGCCTGGCCCGCCTTGATGTTTCTCTATTTGTACCTGATTTCGTAAATGCAAAAGATAAAGGCTTATGATCAGTATAAATAATTAAATTTTGACCTTCAATTAAATAACGAAAATGAATTATGGCTAAATAAATTGCTAAAAGTTCTCTATCATACGTGCTATATTTCTTTTGCACTTCTGTTAACTTTTTAGAAAAATAACCTAAAGGTTTCCATTTGTCAGCAATTTTTTGTTGTAATACTGCACCTACGCAATTGTCTGACGCATCTGTCATTAATGAGAACGGTGTGTCTATAGATGGATAACCTAACAATGCAGCATTTTTAAGATCTTCCTTACATTGTTCAAAATTTTGTTCGGCCTCTATTGTCCAATTAATTTTACTTTTATCTTTACGTTTAGAAGAACTTAAATACTTATATAAATGTAATTGGTGGGCTGCCGAATGCGGTATGTGTGCTCTATAAAAATTTAACATACCCATAAATCTTCTTAGTTCCTCAATAGTGTTAGGTTTTGGAAAATCAATAATAGCTTTAACCTTATCCGTTAAAGGTATAATTCCTTCAGTTGTGACTTCGTAACCTAAAAAATCTAATTTTGTCTTTCCGAAACTACATTTAGCGAAATTAATTGTTATCCCATACTCGTTAAATCTTTCGAAAACTTTAAGTAAATGCTGTTTATGCTCGGTTTCATTTTCTGAGGCAATTATTACATCATCCAAATAATTAAATAAAAAATCTAAACCTTGTAAGACGGTGTGGTGCATAAAGCGCTGAAAAGTTTGCGCTGCATTACGCAATCCGAAAGGCATTCGCATAAATTCAAATAACCCAAAAGGTGTTATGACAGCCGTTTTCTCAATGTCATTTTCGGCTACGGGTATACAATTATATGCTCTATTTATATCTAACTTCGTAAATATTTTCTTATTCGACAAATTATACATAAAATCGTGAAGACGGGGAACTGGATAACGATCCGGTTTAGTAATCGAATTTAAACGTCTATAATCACCGCAAGGTCTAATATTTCCATCCTTCTTTGGCACGATATGTAAAGGACTTGCCCAAGCGCTATTACTCGGCCTACAAATCCCAAGCTCTTGCATAACTTTAAATTCATTTTTAGCTTTAACATACCTGTCTGGTGGTAGCTGCCTACTTTTCACGTGCACTGGTGGTCCTGTGGTCTCTATGTGATGACAAACGCCATGTTTAGGTGTCTCCTTATATGAAACAGGCATAGTTAACTCGGGAAACTTACATAATAAATCATAATAAGGGCAATTATCAACAATTGTCTTTACAGTGGACTCAGTTGAACTCGAAATGGTACCTCTAATGCTTAAATTAGTTAACTGATCGATTAATCTTCGTCCGTACAAATCAATTAACAGCTTATGTTTAGCTAAGAAGTCGGCACCTAATATTGGTTGCTGTACGTCCGCTAATATAAATAACCAACGGAAAGCTCTTCTAAGGTTAAGATCTAACTCTAAAAAATGCGTACCATATGTATTAATCTCGGTTCCATTCGCGGCATACAATTTATAACGTACATTATTTTTATTACCTTTAATATGTGCTATGCTGCGGGGTAGCACAGACACATTAGCACCGCTATCCACTAAGAAAGTTAAACCTGTTCTCCTGTCCATCACACAAAGACGGTTGTTAGAATCTACGCGGCCACAGCCTCCCGTCGTCGGCTGCACCGACGTTAGTTTTCCGACGGCTTGACATCTTTCTTCCAGTTGCACGGCTGGACGCACTTATTTGCCCGATTCTTGTATCGATAATGATAGTAACACAACCAATTGGGATCTTCAGGTGTCTTCCCACGCGTCCTTGACTCTGATGACGATCGCGATCTTGATCCGTAACGCCTTCTGTTACCTTTCTGCCAGTGCCTTCTTGATCTAGTTTCTAATTTTTCAAGTCTTTCGCTTATTTTATCAAGGTGGGCTATTACCAAATCGTCTTTATTCAAGGTCAGCGATTTTCCTTCCACCGCAGCGATACTGGGTATTGGCGTCGCGGTCTCCATTACCTTATCCGCGATAGTTGCTAATTTTCCTAAATCATCTTCATTTGTCACAGCCAATACTCCTCTGACTGATGGTGGTAGGTGATTTTGCCACATCACCACTAGTGTCTCGTTGGTGACTCTATTGCGAGCTAGGTCCTGCATTTTTCTCAATAACTGCGATGGTTTCTGGTCTCCTAACTCCATTTCGCCTATTAGTTTCTTTACTTGTCGTTCTTCCGATTCCTGGTAAATCAATATTAATTTTTGTTTCAAATTTTCATACTTATTTTTTTCTGGCGGATTTAATAAAATTTCTGTGATCTGCTCTATAACTTCTTGGCCTAATTTCGATATAACGACTTGATATTTCGCTTCATCAGACATCTTCTGCGGTTGTAGTACTGCTTCTACCTGAATAAACCAGGTTTTCGGCGACTTCTTCCAAAACTCAGGTATTCTTGCCGTGACGGAGATAGTGGATAAATGATACTCTTCGGTGGCTATTTTTCTTTCTTCGGTAGGCATGTTTAACGTAATCACGACTCGTATAAGTACCGATATTAAAAAACAACACTACAGCACAAGTGAGTTGCCCGTTCTAAACAGTCTCAATCTGTACACAATATCACAAAAGTTCTTTAAAATTACCAAATCACAGTTCAGTCGGGGTCACCACTTTTGTAACTGGTCGTTACTTTGTTCCTTTATTACTGGGGTTGCGTATGTGTACAGAGAGAAATAATAAGTCTATGAACAACTTATTTAAATTTATTAATTACGACTGTATACGATATATATGGGTGTGCTGTAGTACGGTATACAAGACGACCACGGGACAACTGTGGTTCACAGCGCACTACAGTACCGATAACTCAGAACGTTGCGTCAGCATTCCCGCAACAAGGTTTTGGCCTACTATACAACGCTTGCCAGATGGGTTGGTATGGGGTTTGTTTCAAGTTTTCCTTCTCTTTGCAGTGATGTTGTCCTTCAACAGTTTGTTCTTATAGTCGGTTCTTACGACACATACAGGATGAATAGTTACAACTCCTTATTCTTAATCCGTCACCACACAGATAAGCCGGCCTTTATAATTTTTTTTGTTAAACTGCCGAATTTTTAATGACCTTGTCCATTTTATTTTTTTGTCTCCTGGCAGAATTACATCTATAAAAGCTTAACATGTTACATACTAAAATAAACTCACCATTTATATCCCTTTTGAAACGACAAAACCCATCAGCCGTGCACAAAAACCCGCCGCACTTTTGCTGTCTGTCATGAACGCTGTACCACAGTCCGTCAGCAGGCCAACGAGAATTGTCCGTAGACATATGGCGAATGGCTCTTATTAGGAGTAGACGAGATAAGTGGCAGTCTCGCATCATCAATACCTGAAATAAGATATTTTAAAAGTTTTAAAACATGTTTGATATCATAATCGCACCCCTAACTCCAATATCCTGACTCCTGGGCCCTGTTTTATGAAGCTGACAATCCGACAAGTCCGACATATGTCAAAAAGTGACAATTCGACAATTTTTCTGTTTTATCAAACTTACAGGCGACAAAATTGTCATTGTGGAAAATTGACAAATATGTCGGATTGTCGCGTCAATCTGACATTTTTCTGTTTTATGAAACTTTTTGAGCGACAGGTGACAATTTGTCGTGAAAAACTTGTCAAATCTGCTTTATAAAACAGAAAATTGTCATCACATATTGACATATTTGTAGAATTGTCCGACAATTCTGACAGGAACGTTACCCTCTGTCGCTAAATCATATTCTGAATTTTGAAGGTGTAAGAAAGTGTTTATAAAATCGAACCCGAGACCTCAGCACAGTAGTCGCATACGCTATCACTGCGCTACCGAGGCACTCATAGAATATTTCATACATACCTACACAATATAATACATATCTAATTGATAACTCCTTTATTTAAAGTTGGGTAACGGTCTAAACAAATTACGAATTGATGACGTATAAACTAGTTAAAATATACTAAACCTTACCATGGTCCTTTTGGGCCAATTTTGCCATGTAGTGTCGCGAAGGTATTTCCAGTCTTTGTTGAAAATACCTAATGCTGTTTTGTTCGACTATTTCCTTGGATTTTTTTATTTTTGTATCGTGGGTCAATTCGTCACTAAACTTCCCAAAGAGTATATTCCTATTTTCGAAAATAAGGCCCAAAATGGTAATTTTTTTGTGCATTTCCATTTTACACGAAATTTTAAAACAAACAATCGAAGCTACACTAGAGATTGATTCATTCTTTTACTCTGTTAATATGTTTTCTATTTTACCCTCATTTAGCTACAGAAAACATATTTATTTGCAAACGTCAAAAGTCGACATAATTGTCACAACAATTCGACAATTGTCACCAACCATTGTCAGTAATAATTTGACTGTGGTTTTTTGACATATGTCGTGTTTTAGTAAACGATTTTTAAATGACAAATATGTCAAGAATATGCCTGTCGAATTTTGACATATTTGTCACTTTTTTTAAACACCCTAATCACGACAATACGACAATTTTGTCACTTTTTGACATATATGTCGAAATGTCAGCTTCATAAAACAGGGCCCTGGTCATGTTTTGATTGGAGGTTCATTTTTTGTACTAGTAGATAGAGATAAAATCAGTGAGTCATAAGGATATGAATGGATCACGTAAACGAAGCGACACTTTCAGACGGCCTGTTGCTCTAGTGGTTAGTGACCCTGACTGCTGAGCCGGAGGACGTGGGTTCGATTCCCACCCAGGACAAATATTGTGTGATAAGCACGTTCATGTGTTCTGTGTCTAGGTGTAATTTATCTATAATATGTGTGTATTTAAAAATATATAAGTATGTTTATCAGCAGTCTGGTTATCACAGCACAGGCTCTGCCTAGTTTGGGCCTGATCCCAAACTAGGCAGATGAGAGATGTGTGAGATATTATTATTATATTAATTTCGAAAGATTTTACAGATATAATATGGGGTTTTGTTCCAAATTATATTGAAATGTTTGAGAAAGGAAAACCTATCTATCGGAACTCTTACTACAAATAAGGACAAAACTAAGCCGGCACTCATACCGCTATAATCATACCCAAGTAAACCAGTATAGATCATTATACTTAATTTTTATCTATTTTTTATTTATATTTTTATAAGATTTGGTTTTAAATAAGCGTAAAAGCTAAAAGCATCGGTTACGCATAAATCCACACACACACACACACACACACACACACAAACACAGACACACCCTCGCACACGTTGACAAATACACGTACATTCACAAATACATTCCATTATCATAATTTATAATGTAAATTGTAAAACCATTGTATCTCTAATTAAGGAAGGCAGTGAATCCTAAGATACAGGTTAATCAACCTAGTTTAGGAGACAGAGCACTTATCAAAATATAATTTTGATGGTTCAATAAACTTGTTTGTTTGTTTGTTGTTGTTCAATTACTCACCTTAACAATCAAAGCCCAAGATGGCTGCGGTTGAGCCAACAATACAATCAGCTCTAAACCCAGCGCCGTCTTATTGCAGAGATCCTGCGTACTCTTGATCGATGTATCATCAAACGATTCAAACAACTTGGGGCTGACAAATGTGTACCACGGGAATGGACATTCCTTTGTGAATGTTACATTTTCTGGTTCTTTAAATGTCTGAAATATATTTTAATACCAATAACACTGTAGTCTGTCAATTACTACTACTAGTTTTACTGACGAACATTAAATCATTAACTATATTTTATTTTCTAATTTTCTTGGAAAAATGCAATTCGTTAGTAATTAAACCATACAAAATGGAAGACTATTCCAAACCGATTGTATTTTTTGTGTATAATACGCAACGCATAATGTTGGTTGAATGCTGTTTTGTGGGTTTTATATGAACAGTAGTCACAATCAATAAAACCGTGGTAATTTTTTGTAAGTATTTTTTTCTGATCCTGTCATTTTTTTTAAACACCTTTTGAACATTTAAAAAAAAAAGGACGAAATTTTAATTTTTTTCAAAGAATACTGAGCGGTTACAAGTGATTGGATTTTATTATGGTATAAAGGGCATCCCGTGGGTGTCGTAAGAGGCGACATCGGCAAACTCTAAAGAACAACAGCACTGCAAAGAGAAGGAAAACTTAAAACAAACCCTATACGGACCTGTCTTTCTTAACGTCACCAAAGTAACATTTGTGCTAAATTTCATGCTTCTAGACCCAGTGGCTTGCCTTCCAAAGACCAAACCACGGCGTCCGATGCGACGACCAACAGTTGCACGCGGAAGGCGGTACACGCGACATTATGTTACTGGCGCGGCCAATGTGGTCCCTGGCACGGGGAGTGTGGCCTAACGGCTACGAGAGGGGCGACGGGACAGCCGTCAAAAGTCTCGCATTAAGCAGAGATTTCAACTGGCGGCGGTCAATGCCGAACACCGGCAACCGGATGGCCCGACCCGCAGACGCCGACTTATCGGGAGCGGGGGTCTTTCTTCTAGACAGGAGATTGGCCAAGAGGAGAAAACCTCTATAAAAACCACAAGGGTAGGGTGGCCTAGGCCACATACCAAGACTTATTAGTTTAGTTTTTTAGTTTAAAAAAAAAAAAAAAAAAAAAAAAGTTTAAAGAGTAACTTACTAAGTAATGAATAATATTTCGATAGGCCAGTTAAATCTTCATAACGATAAAATAGCTACATCAGAATTAGACCGTTTAATTTTAGAACAAAAGTTAGACATTGTCCTTTTACAAGAACAATATCAGAGCGCTCACTTGCGTCGTAATGTAGTACAGCTTGACTGCCGTTCGCAGGCTGGGATATATGTTGCAAGTTCTAATTTTACGGTAACATCTTTGCGTAATCTTATGACGTCACACTGCGCCGTTGCTGAGATCTCATCCTCTACCTGTAAGGTTTACGTAGTGAGCTGCTATTTTCAATATTCACATCCTATTGATCCTCACTTACATCACTTACGTTACGTCTTGCAGTTCCTCGTGGGACATAAAATTATCATTGGCGCTGATGTCAATGCGTCATCTTCATTATGGTATGGCAAGTTGCGTTCAACCGACACGGTTCGACGTTGTGCGGTTGAAGATTTCATTGCGGAAATGAATCTTATTATTCACAATACCCCCGATGCACCACCAACTTTTTGCAACCCAATGGGTGAGTCTTCTATTGACGTGACGCTTACGCGCGGCGACGTCTCGATATCCGGATGGCGTGTCCTTCCGGACGCATCCTGTAGTGATCACCGCTTGATCGTGTACGAATTCACACCAAGGGTTGCACAGGATCCACAAAGGGCTCCCTATAATTTTAGATATAAAACTAAAGGTGCGAACTGGGCTTTGTTTGGTTCACTCTTTGCAACTCATACCAAAGACTTCAGTCGCAGTAGTTTATCAGCTGAGGAAAGCGCAGAAATAT